AATGTTCTGACATTGGGCTTCCCCTTGAGACCATAGCTAATGGAAGAGGATGAAAGTAGTCCCCAAGTCCCTTCTGTACCATTAGGAAAGGAAAGCATGGTCCCTTTTATCGACAAGAGATGCAAGCTAGGAGTTTGTTTTACTGTAAGAAATCTGGTTACTAAAAACAGAATGTGAAGTCTAGAGGAGATGCTGGAAAAAGGGAAAGCACCCCAGAAAGTTTTGAAGGATCCTCTCTACAGCCCTGATCACTCAGCGTGGCGTGGCTCTTGGGAGGGAGGGCAAAGAGAGGGATGGCACAAGGAGGGGGATATTCAGTAATCCCCTCTGCCTTACCCCCAGAGTCGTGAATGTACCTTGGCTGTGGGGATTGCTAACAAGACCCTTCCAGCTCATGTCCCTCTGTTTAACCCCTCTTATCTCAGATCAGTGTAAGAAAAGAGAATGCTGGAGAACTGTAGGGAAACCTCAATCATGTTCTGCCCTACCTGGTGGAGGGGGGCAAGAAGCAGCCAGAATGGGGCCCCACACTGGCAGTGTGCCCCTGGTCATTCTTCAGCCTATTCCTTTAGGCAAGCTAAATAAGAAGGAATGGGAAAACTGGACTTAAGCTTATATTAGAAAAGTGAGGCACTATCCAGGGAAGTAAAATCTGTGGGAGTTCCGCCAAAGGCAAACAAACAAAAAACCAACCTAGCGGCAGCAGTTACAGTAGAAAGCCTTTCATTTAGAATCCTGATTATTCTGGTCCCTGTTCCTTATGGAAACTTGAGCCAGGCTCTTCTCCTCTTAGGCATCTCCTCTGCGAGGCGAGGGGCAGCAGACTTGGCACTAAGCTCCCTTCTGTCTCTGAGTGCTCTGGTTGTGCCCCTCCTCCCCTCTAGGCTTCAGCTGCCTCATTTTTACAATGAGAGTGTTAGATTAGATGAACCCTAAAATCCCTCCCAGATTTAAATCTTTGGAGCCTGTAGTGCATATGTTTGTTTTCAAAAGACAAAAATTGGTCCTGCCCTGCTGCATTGGTTTTAAAGTCCATTGCAGATAATTATGTCAGAGTTCCTTCACATAATGGGTGTCTTATGTGAAACCAGGGACCACGGTAGATTTCCCTATCTCAGGGGCAGATTCCAGGTAATCTCATTATCCATTGGGAAACAGCACGACTTTTCAAGCTTGTGAGATTTATGGCTCCTAGGAGAGTCATCTTGCGAGGCCACTGGGGCATTCTGATGTAATTAAACTTTGAATTGGGACAGTAATCTCCAGTAATTTGTATGTCAGACTTTGAGGTATCGAGGTGCCACGGAAAGATCACTGGGCAGGGAGTCGGAAGACTTGTGTTCAGATCCTGCTCTGTTGTTAACTAGCTCTGGTACCTTTCTCTGGAAAATGATGGGTTTGGTTTAGGTGACGAATGAGGTCCCTTTCAGCTCCAACAAATGATGAAATCTTTAGAATAGTGGTTTCTCTTTGTGAGCTTGCACTATTCTGCCTCATTGTCTCTTGGAGAAAATGGGGGCAGCACATACTTCTTAAGGTTTCAAGTTGAAAAGCAGAAAAATGTGTTTAAAGAGCTAGTGTTTCACACTTCCATCATCACAAAGTAGAGCAATTTTAAAATCCAGGTGGTGTGGCTTCAGCTGTGCTGGAGCAAATGAGTTTATTTTCTTTTGCTCCAGTTTGGGACACTTTTGTGTGGTGATGCTGACTGTTATTCATCTTTTGTAGTTGTTTCTTAGCAAAGTAATGTAATTGTTACCTACACATTTAGAGCCAGCATGATCGGGAAATGAACCAGAACCATAAGATCCTGTGTGTTCACCAATGTTGTTCTTACTCTTGTTACACAAGGCTACTCAGACACTTGAATCTCTCATTTCCCATAGGCACTGGAGCTGGCAAACTTTCTGGCAGAACTAATGAAGGTGCACAGATTCGTTGCTAAAGCTGTTACCCATTTTTGAAGAGTCGAAAGGCACAGTCTTCCCAGAAATATGGTGATGGAAGAGGTGCTACCCATTTCTATTACAATGAAAAACCCACAGTAGGAAAGAGGATAGTTTCTTGTGCACTGCAGAATAGACGTTCCGCTTCAGTAGTTGTAGTAGCTCTGGAACTGTAGAAATACAAGAGATACAGCCGGCCCCCGAAGCCAGCTTTTCCAGCTGATATCTTGTGAGCTGTTGGCAGAAGGTGGGGAGCTGACTGAGCCTGCGGACGTCCGCCGCTCTGCCTCCGCCTGTCTGCCTGCCAGCCTCCACTCGTCTCCAGGGTCAACAATGAGTGACTCGGCGATCAAGTCTTGGAGTTCTTTTAGGATCCAAGGATGGACCGCATCCCGGTTAGGGGATTTTGATTCAAAATCTCTTCCCTCTTCGTGCTTCTTCCTTACTTTTACTGGGTATCAGTTCCATTTAGTCATTTTCAGAGTGAACTGAAGCCAAAGCAGAAGTAAGCAGCCCTAGCTGCCTCCTACCTCTGATCATTTCCCACCATCCCATTACCCCCAGCATGCGTCCTGATCTGACCCTCCTGGGTCTCCTGCTAGAAGCTTTATAAAAAATGATGCCTGCGCCTGGCTCATCATGAACTCCAATATCACCGACGTGCTCTCTAGGCTTGGGCCAGGCTCTTCCTTCCATTCCTCTCCTGTTGCCTGGCCTGACTTCCAGCTTTGTGGTTGGTTCATTGATTAGTGAATTCTTTGTGTATCCACATTGATCTCTTCAGACAAATCTCAGTATTTTTCTGGGTTGGAATTTGTTTCCCTTTGTGTCTTCAGTGGTTTATTCTTGAATATCTCCCTTCCCTCCTAGACTGATTTTCTCTGAAGTATTTTCATAGACTGCTGCCTGTCTTTTCTTTGAATCCTTTGAAGTTTGCTTTTCCAAAATCTGAGATGTATGTTGTGCTATGCTCAGAGCTCCTCTCCTCTTTCACAAACTAGGATGAAGTGGTTACTTCCCTACCAGTTTCCCCTAAGTCATCCCCCTCCACCCTCCTCTGGCAACTGCTTCCTCCCTGTTAGTGAGAATCAGATCTCGAACAGAATTTCCCCTTCTAGGTTCCTCCAGCTTTTGAAGGATACATGATTACTAAGGCAGATCATTTATTTTTCTGCTTTTGGGAGAGAGGGAGAGGGAGAAGAATGAAAGGGGGAAAAAAGGCCTATGCTCTAGGAGATGGTAATTTTTATACACTATTTAATATAAATTCACAATAGCATTTACCACTTCAGAAGAGTGTTTTTCTTCTTTCATGGAAACTTTCTTCTTTTGAAATTGTGAATAGTGATTTGGGAGCATATGGAGAATGCCCATCCCAGGAGGAAATAAATGGGCTACTGATAGTGTAGTGAAGTGGTCAGAGCATTTGATAATCATGGAGGAATCAGAAGACCTGATTTCCAGGTTAGGTTTTGCTGCCTAATCATGGGACTGAGGACTTAGTATTTCCTGTTCTTAGCCTCAGCCTCAGGATCCTTATCTGTAAAATGGAGATAATACTTCAGTTACTTGTCTGCCCGGGTTGTTTTGAGGAAGAGCTTTGTAAATTGTGAAGCATAAACATCCAGCAACACAAACATACTGAGCTGTTATTACTACCTGTGCTGATGGGAAGGAACCAAGTTATGGTCTGGAAAATCATGGCTGTCTAGAGTTGTGAGTTCATGCACACCGAAGAGATAGAGACTGAGACCCAATTCTCACTGAACAAATAATGGACCTGCAAGAATATTTTCCGGGTGATTTCTCAACTTAGTTGCTGTTCTAATGAGCATTTTATTTGGTAAATCAGAACTCATGATATTTTTTCTATTCTGATTTTTATATTAAAAAGGAAAATAATGGCTCAGAGTCAGAAGACCTGAGTTCAACACCTATCCCTAAGGCTCACTGTGAGTTCCTGGGTTAGTTATTTAACCTTCCTGAGCCTCAGTTTCTGAATTTCTAAAGTGAAGAGGTTGGACAAAACAGCCTCTGAGGTTCTGTCCAGCTCTGATCAGTGATCCACTGGGTCCCAGGTAGAGATCAGGACTTTATTCCCAAAGTTATTGCCAGGGTAGAACATGGGGATGCCAGCATTTTAATATTGTAATGATAACCACAATACTGTTGGATCTGAGAATAAACTGCTGGTGTGAGTAGCAGTTTCTCTTTTAAAAAATTATTTCAAAACATTTGCTTCTTGAGATATTGTGATATGTCAGTAATTGTGTTATCTTTTCTCTTCCAAAAACACTCTAAAAATACTTGTTTGGGCTGGGTGTGCTGGCACAGGCACTCCTCTCTGTTCCTGGGGAGGCTGAAGCTCAGAAATTCCCTGAGCTCAGGAGTTCTGAGCTGCTCTGGGCTAAGCTGACCAACTGGTTGTCTGCACTAAGTTTGGCATTGAGACCGTGGCAGTGGGGCCACCTGACAATCCAAGGAGGGTCACAAACAGAACAGGCCAAAGTTCTTTGGGATCCAGTGGGATCAAATCCATGAGTAACCCTTAGAGAGGGATGCAGTCTTTTAAAAAAATGCTTTTATATGGGTCAGTTTTGAAGACTGAAGGTTGATTTTATTATGTACCTGAAAAGCAAGCTGCTTATAATAAAAGTCTGCAATTTCATGTACAACCCTCCTTTTCTGTTTTAGGATGTATATAGAATGTCCATTTTATTTAGTGTTTAAGTTCAGAATAAAAACAGTGTTATGAGAAAAATGCTTGTCAGTCTTTAAATTTTGCCTGAGAAAGCAAGTGGTGAGAGTAATCTTTGGGAAATGACATTTTTCAACATGAGTGGACATGTAAACTGTAAGTGGAAAAGAAGAGAGTGGTAAGGAAAAATATATAAAATGGAGACAGTACCTTAGTTTTCTTCTTAGAGATCTTTTTAGGTTTTGAACAATATGATAAGACTTTTTAAAAACATTCCTTCAGTGAACCATTTTCCACAATCCTCCTTTCATGTGTAATAGATGAATTTATTTCTCTAATGTTTTGATGATTTGTAGATCACAATCGTGTACATGCTACAGATGTCCTGCATGCAGTGTGGTACCTGACAACTCGGCCGATTCCTGGATTCAAACAGATCCGTCAGGATCTTGTGAAAGTGATTCGCACAGGTACTGCCTTCAGTAAAGGAATATTTAAGGATAAGCCTGAGAATAAGTTAGGCCATGTAGAAGACACTCTGTTGTACTTTCTGGACAATTCAGTAACTTCTGCTTTAATGAATATTTGGTTAATAATGTTAACCAGTTATTTTGCTCCATATAGAAAAGTCTAAATTAATTGGGTATTATTATGGGGTGCTCATATTACAAAGGTTTTTGGTTTGGGGATGTGAAAGTTATAGGTTAGGAACTAGTATTGAGCTCTGTGTTTTGGCATGACTAGTTAATGCCTGTGCCAGAAAACATGCCAGGAAGAAAGGAGGAAAACACTTATAATGGAATTGCAGATGAGTTGACTTTCTGATAGGCCCATACATAGAGTTGCTGCTGGAATGGTGGCCCTTTTCTCTCTCTGCCATTTTCTCTGATCTTCACCCAATTTCTAGGGTTCTATATCTTGGGATAGACAGACTCTTTTTCCCTAGTCACTCGAGACAAAGGTGAAGTATTTCAAAAAGGGACTTCACTAGCCACTATGGGAAAAAGGTAAATTAAAAAAGTATCAAGTGTAGAAGTTTACAGAACATTTAAATATTTGTAGTAGGAAATTTGCAATCTAGTAATAAATGTCTGACACGATTTCCTTATCCAATCCTTTCCTTATCATTTGTAATACCCTATCATATAGGTTGACTCTACCCTTGGGTAGAATGCCATTCCATCACCTTCTGCACTCATCCAGGCCTGTCTCAAATGTGGACTCACTGTGTTGATCTCATGGCCAACTAACCAGTTCATGACCACTTCCTGCCGGCACCTAAGGCCAGTTCTCTTTCTTTTCCGGCACCAAAGATATGGTTCCCTGTTGCATCTCCCAAAGTTCTGGCTTCCACAAGCTCTTGGCCTGTTTGCAGAGTTAGGGGGAGTGATCCCAGCTGTGTTCAGTTAGCATTTCACATAAGTCCCAGCCCAGCTCTTGGTTGTACCTGCTTCCCTTTGTTCTGAAGGTCACTTCCCCTCAGAGAAATGCCCGTAAGAGACCAATCATACATTTGTAGTGCTTTGTGCACTACAAATACGCAGTCAGTAGTAAATAGAAACACACATAGATTCTGCTGCAGTAAGGGAAAGGTCTTTCCATCAGAAGCTTCATAAGGATCAAAGACTATAGAGTGCTGACTCTAGTGAAACATTCAAATATTTTACTAATATGTATTCATTGGTAAGATAGATTATAATCAGTTTTATTTGTTACTCTCTTGTTGAAATGTCTCAGCACAAGGATTTAAAATATTATCAAAGAGTGCCTGAAAATCGGAAAGTCTCTGAAAACCCCCCATTCCTGTTGGCGTGCTGCTGATGGGAAGCCCCAGTAACACTTCTCATTGATCAGCAATGTCATATTGTGGTTTGTTGTTGTCGTCCTGGCAACAAAAGGCAAACACAGAAGCTGATAGACCAGCACTGGAGGTTAGGTTCTGTGTTAACAAAACTGATGCAGAAGCAGCTCTCTCATTTGGCTGTTATGGACCTCCTTTTAATGTGAATCAAATAGTTAGTAGAATCAAATCACTGTCTCTCAAAGTGATTCACATCAGTGAATCCTGTTGTAGTTTAATCTGAATGAATATTCATTTGGATCCTTCTTTTGCCAGTATTTCTTATTTGGATATTATAAATGTATCAGACTTAAACCTTTAACTTCCTAGTTTCCAAAATGTAATGCTACATTCTCCCTTAAATCACATGAATACTTTCTTCATTGGATTTATTTTGAAAAAGTATTTTAATACTTTAAAGTATTTGGTAATAATACCTTTATTTACCCTAACAAGGGAAATCTAGAATATATAATCTGATGTTTCAAATAAAGCATTAAACTATTACATTTTCGGTATTGAAATGTACATGTTCAGATTTTCTACTCTAAATAGAGTACATATTTACAAAAAAATCTAAATGTTCATTTTTGGTTCTATATTTGATAATTTATTTTTTCTGATTAAAAATATTGAATACCTAATCATATTCTTAATTATAAATATATTTGGCCTTTTAAAATAATGTCTAATTTTTCTCATGTTTTAGAGGCATTAAAAATAATTCCAGTATGCACAATCCCAGTGCTCACAAGCTGAGGATTTGCTGCAGCTAAAAAATTGATGTTTTTAAGTGTCATGGTAAATTTTAATCGTAAACAAGTATAGAACATAAACAATTATAGTTCATCTATCATTTGAGCAAAATGATTCTTGTAGTATTAAACCTTTAGAGGCAAACTAATGGTGTAGTGGAAAGAAGTTGTATTACTTGTTTATATTTGAAATTATTAAAACACTGGCTTTTTCTTTATAATAAAATGCATAAATGGACATGTTTATTTGTGTATTATAGTCAAACACTCCAGTAGGCAGCTGGTGGATTAGTGAGTAGAGCATTGGGTCCTTATATCAAGCCAAGATCTATCTCTGTATCTTCTACCCAGTGTTCCTATTTCTGCCTCTAGAGCTGTTAAAAACTGGTTGTTAAACTCTTTCACATGCCAGCATTTGAGGTCCTTGGAGATGGTGATCATGTTCTCCTTCCTAAGTAGTTTCTTCTCTGGGCTTAATGCTTCTGGTTCCTTCAGCCCATCCTGCTGTGATGTACCCCTTTTCCATTCTCTGAATGAGAAGAGGAGCCAAGCCTTCCTCTGACTGAGGCCCTTATAGCTTCTCCTGCTGGCTCCAGCATGTCCCCCAGAGGGAAAGTGAAAAGGGCCAGACAGAGTATCTCCCATCTGCTCCAAGGCAGTGACTTCCATATGTGCCAACATCAGGCAGCCTCCATGTTCTGCTGCCAGCCTGATCTCCCAGCTGAGAATCGAAGAACCTCTGGTGTAAAGAGGAGCAACCTTCCCTTTGACTTCAGGCCTTCCATCTCCTACTGTACCTGTCCCTTGAGGAAAGGTGGTGGGGAACCAGACTTCTTTTTTCTGCAATGCAAGTTTGACTTCCATCTCCTGTCGTGCCCTTTCCTGCCTAATCTCTAGCCTTTGGAGGGAAGAGGAGTAGTGAAGCAGAGCCTCCTACATGACTGTGTAACTATGTCCCTCTAGTCTCATGCTTTGCTTGCCTCCTGCCTGAACTCCAACCTCTTCTGGGATGAGGAGTGCTGCCCTCCACTCAATAATAAACATTCCCAAATTTGGTCATACCCTTCATATTCCCCATACCCACTCCCATCTCCTGATTCCTTATTCCCATCCCCCTCAACCTTTTCATTCTAAAGTTTCAACCAAACATCCTCCAGCCATTCCACTGTGCCCTCTGGAATGCCTGTTCCATAAAAAGGTCCTTTCACCCTAAATCTTTTCCTCTCCCACTTCTTTCATCTACTAGCTATTACTGAAATCTGACTCCCCCTCAATGACATAGCCTTTCTGAATATCCTTTCCAGTACTGGCTATACCTGCACTCATTTTCCTCGGCTTATTGGTCAAGGCAGGGGAGTTGGAATACTCTACTCCTCATTGCCATTTCCAGGTTCTGCTCTTTCCTTTATCACTCAGTAATCTTTCCTCCTTTGAGGTCCATGCTGTTCATATCTACTACCCAATCAAAATCTTGGTAGCTATTACCTTCAGACCTCCGAACCACTCCCCTTCCTTTCTCAATGAATTGGATATGTGTCTCACAATTTTCCTCAACTGCTGACTTAATAGGGAACTTTGAACATACATATTGACTTTCCCTCAAATACCCTACCTACTCAGTTCCTCAGTCACCTCCCTTGAACTGCTCCTTCACCCCACCTCAGCCACATACGGAGATGATCCTTCATACTCTTGACCTTGCCATCCCCTACAAACATACCACCTTCATGTTCAAAAAATTCTAGAATACCTTTACCTGACCATAATCTATTGGCTTTTCACCTCTCCCTCTACCTCAGTTATATAACCCTACTCTTCATCTGCACCATGACCTCCATCTGGACTGCTCAGTTCTTTCCCAGGGTATCTGCCCTGCGCTAGCTGCCACTCTTCCAATCTTGACTCCTTGGTGAATCAGTTCAATTCTGTATTGTTCTCTCTTGAATTCCTAGCTCCTTTATCATTTTGCTGATTAGGCCATGCAAAGTTGCAGCCTTGGTTCACTCCCACCATTCACTACCTTTGCTTCTACACGTGTTACTGAATGAAGGTGGAGAAAGTCATGTAACTGTTCTGAATGGGTCCACTACAGATTTATGTTACGTAACCTCTACTGGGTCCTCCCTTCTGCTAGGCAATTCTTCTATACCTGTCTTATCAACTCACTATCCTACTCTCCACACAGACTCTTCCAAATCTTTTCATCCCTCCTCAAACCTCTCATGACTCCCTCTTCCTCATTCTCTCAACTTGCCTCATGTTTTACAGAAAAATTGAGGTCATTCACCTCTTTTCCCCAGTTGATAATATCATATAACTCATATGCCTTATGCCACTATCTCCTCTTTCAGCCGTTTCACATGAAGAGGCGGCCTTATTCTTAAAGGCCCACCCCTTCACCCACAGAACTGAATCCATTCCATCCCATCTCCTTCAACAGATTGCCCCTTTTGTCGTCTCCACTCTGTCACTTATTTTCGATCTCTCCCTGTCTGTTGGCTCATTCCTTACTACCTACAAACATTCCTGTTGTTCAGAGCGTCAGGAGACGTGATTAGTCACTTTCCACTGCAGAGCCAGCTCTCAGGTGCCTGGGAAATTGGGAAACTCCAACAAATCCAAATCATCACACATATCATAAAATCGTAAATCTGATGAAGCATTTGCCAGAGGATGAGATCATCTGGAGGGTGAGCGCAAAGGATTGTTGTTATGCCAAGCTTAGGGTACAGCTTGCTTGCTGGGCCTTCGCCCTGGAAAACAGTGTCTCCTAACGTCTTGACACTATAGCGGGCAATATTATCCTCCCAGTCCCTCAAACTCACATCCTAGGAGTCATCATCAACTCTTCACTGTCACTTCCCTCTCTCCTCCA